AGTCAGTTTGCTGAGGTGAAAGCCATCCAGCTGGCCCTGGACATTGCTGAACGAGAAAAGTGGCCAGTACTTTATCTCTATACTGACTCATAGATGGTGGCAAATGCCCTGTGGGGGTGGTTGCAGCAATGGAAGCAGAGCAACTGGCAACGCAGAGGTAAACCTATCTGGGCTGCTGCACTGTGGAAAGATATTGCTGCCCGGGTGAAAAACCTGGTGGTGAAGGTACGTCATGTAGATGCCCATGTACCCAAGAGTCGGGCCACTGAGGAACACCAGAACAACCAACAAGTGGATAAAGCTGCTAAGATTGAAGTGGCTCAGATGGACTTAGATTGGCAACATAAAAGTGAATTATTTTTGGCCCGGTGGGCCCATGACACTTCAGGCCATCAGGGCAGAGATGCAACATATAGATGGGCCCGTGATCGAGGGGTGGACTTAACAATGGACACTATTGCCCAGGTTATTCATGAGTGTGAAACATGTGCTGCCATTAAACAAGCCAAACGGTTAAAACCTCTTTGGTATGGAGGACGATGGCTGGAGTATAAATATGGGGAGGCCTGGCAGATTGATTATATCACACTGCCACCAACCCGCCAAGGTAAGCGCCATGTGCTTACCATGGTGGAAGCAACCACCGGATGGCTGGAAACGTACGCTGTGCCCCACGCCACTGCCCGGAACACTATCCTGGGCCTTGAGAAACACATTTTGTGGCGACACGGCACCCCAGAGAGAATTGAGTCAGACAACGGGACTCATTTCCGGAATAACCTTGTAGACACTTGGGCCAAAGAGCATGGCATTGAGTGGGTATATCACATCCCCTACCATGCACCAGCCTCTGGGAAAATCGAAAGTTACAATGGGCTGTTAAAAACTACACTGAGAGCAATGGGTGGGGGAACTTTCAAGCATTGGGATACACACTTACCAAAGGCCACCTGGTTGGTCAACACTAGAGGATCTGCCAACAGAGCTGGCCCAGCCCAATCGGAACTTTTACATATTGCAGAGGGGGACAAAGTTCCTGTGGTGCATATGAAGAATTTGCTGGGGAAGACAGTCTGGGTTATTCCTGCTTCAAGTAAAGGCAAACCCACTCGTGGGATTGCTTTTGCTCAGGGACCTGGATACACTTGGTGGGTAATGCAGGATGATGGGGAAGTCCGATGTGTACCTCAAGGGGATTTAATTTTAGGGGAAAACAGCCAATGAACTTAATTGTATGTTGTTGCCTGCTGTGTAATACTTTAATAGCCCATCAACCAGATGTCTTCAGGCCACCAGCAACTAGCCCTGACTTCCCTCCAACCATCATCCCAAGAGAGAACGAACTTTGACAGAACCAGACAAGTTCTACAGTAAGGGAATGATCAGCATCAGCAGGCAACGACCCAATACTGCACACGGCCTCTCCTGTTCTGAAAGACTGTTACAAGAGATGGCACCTGACATCATGGACCAGATGGAATCAGCAGCTTTATAGGGACTAGTCTTTGCACTAAGATAGAAGTGCACTGAGATCGGAGTGATGGTATATTGAAAATGTAGGATCTGAGCATGACGTGAATGGTATGGAATAAGGGGTGGATAATGTCCTGGGTTTAGCAGCAGCAGTCATTTTTTCTCCTTCTTGGTAGCTGGTGCAGTGCTGTGTTTTGACTTTCGGGCTGGGAACAAAGCTGACAGAGGTGATGTTTTGGTAGAAATTGCATCCACTCTAAGTATCATGCTCTGCCAGGGGAAAAGGACTGGAGGAAGCAGAGACAGGACACCTGACCCAAACTGACCAAAGAGGTATTCCATACCACAGCACGTCATGCCGAGGGGGGAACTGGGGGGGAACCCGGAAGGAGAGGGGGTGGGCCGGGTCGGACTGGCGGTTCGGCGCGTGGTATTGTACTCCTTTCCTTTGCTGTTTTCTCTTATCATTGTTGTCGTTGGTGGTAGCAGTGGTGATTCGTATTGTACCTTAGTTACTAAACTGTTCTTATCTCAACCCGTGGGAGTTGCATTTCTTTTTGATTCTCCTCTCCGTTCCCCCAGGAGTAGGGGGAGGGCAAGAAGGGGGGAGAGTGGGTAACAAGCTGTCTGGCTGTGGGTTAAACCACGACACTTTCATCAAAACATTATTACCATTTACCACTGAACGGAAACTCACTGGAGGGTGTTTCCTGCGTTGATAGTTGCTAGTGCTTTGGTAGCAGTTACCTGCCTACTGTCACTTGGTATGTCTGCTCATGTCCATTGTGGTACTAGGCTTCTTCAGCAGAGTAAGTGATAGAGTAAGATATCGCATGGTAGCAAGCACGTGTATCTACTTCCTTTTTGTCTTTTTCCTACCATATATGGTTGTGCAGCACCTCCAAGGTACCTTCCTCAGCAGGTGCTTTGTTGAATCATTTAACCTAGACCTTCCATCACTTTCGTTACTTTCTCCTATGTTTTCACTCAGATTTCATGTCTTTTGTGAGAGGTGTTAATTCAACTTTGCATGTAGAGAAAGAGGTCACTTGGGAAAATGCTGTGCCTGTGTTTGTGGTGTTGGGCAAGACTGTGACATTTCAGACTGTGTCTTTCTGCAAACTATGCAAGTGGGTCACAATGCAGTCAGTGAACACAGTGTTCACTCAAGAGATAAGAGCAGACTTTTCAGCCTTCCTGAGAGAGTCTGCCCAGAAGCTGAAGCTCTGTGTTGCCAAGAATTGTAACTTGAGTCCAGCCAACATGCCTGAAAGGGCAACTCTGTATTTTTTGTTTAGTGAATTTTTTGTTGCCAGAGAATCTTCTTCTAATTAGACTGGAAATAGCTCTCACACCTCAAGAAATGTGAATTAAATCTGAAAAAAACAGGCTGTTACAACACCTGCATGTCTGATAAAGATCTGAGAAAGCTTCTGGATGTGGAACAAAGATAGTATTAGAAAAAGACATTAAAAGCAATGAAGTTGTATGTTTAGTGCTGGGGATCAAATGTGAATTCTTGTGTCAGAAGAACAGGTGAGGTTTACTTAGAATTTATCAGGAAGATATAGAAACATGTAGAGTAAATGGATTGATGATTTTGCTAACGGGCAACATCCCCAAGATAATTACTTATTTGTACTTATACTGTAAACAATATTATTTTCATTTTGTCCTCCAAATTTATGCCCTGATAATTTGATACTATATAATTCCACTTTTGTTGCACAAGGTCCAAGCATGCAGTCTGTGAATGGGTTCAAAAGTAGTTCCTTTGTTTTTGTAAGTTCTCCACATAACTTGCACATGTGAATTACAATAAAAACTTTTTTTTTAAGTGTCTAAAGGAAGAAATTAGGCAAGAATGTCTGTGAAATAGTAAGCTACATCAACACAGCACTTCTTCTTGTGTCCATGGCAGTTTGTTTAAATTGTACCCGTTTTTATATGTAAATCTTCTTTTAAGTGGCATGGTTTTATGATTTATTTCTTTGGAGTTTTTTTTATCTCACAAGAGCTTTAGCACATGCTGAGTTCTTACAATTTAGCCTGGATTAGGTATTCTCTTACATACTATGTGCTCCCTATGCAATTATGTACAGGCTAATGAGTTGATTCTTGTGTGAATAAAGAAAGAAATTGTGTTTTATAGAAGTATATTGTGTTGATGAGATCATTTCTGGGGTAGGTTTTTTTTCTGAAAATGAACACTTAAATAAACTCCTGTTAGGAAAAGTTTTACAGATACTTCTGTAATAACTGGTTCTTGGTAATAAGTTGTACTGAATGGACAGCCTTTTTAATTTAGGCATGAGATGGTTAAATCTGAACTTCATTTTCTATAAATACCTACGTGAGCAAGAGATCTTCGAGGCAGGCCTTCTCAACTAGCATGCACATTACTAGGATATCAATATATAGTGGCTGACACACATTAAGGCTAGAAATAAACTGTGTATGCTTGGACTTGTGTTTTCTGTTGTGGTTTTGTTAGTGGTTTTGTTTGTTTTTGTTTTTGGTTTTTTTTGTTTGTTTTCGTAATGAGGAAAACTGATTTTTGAACCAGTTTATCTGCAGCCAGAGTATATTTTCTTAAATAGGTTATCACCTCTTTCTGAAGATTAAGCTGTAGTAAATGCAGAAATGTTGAGTTGCTGAAGGAATACAGTGATGGCATTCTGTTATAGGCAGTGGTTAGGCTAGATAATTGTCCCATTGTGTCTTCAGGCTTAAAAATCTATTCCTCTTTAAGGTTGATAGCTAAATTTTCTGTGGCAGTTAAGTGTTAAATCATTGGTTTGAAATGATCCTGCCTAAAACTAAGCTTATTGTTGTTTTTTAAATATTTGTGGTTTCTGGAAGCAAGTTTATTTATGAAGTTTAGGAAGCCATATGGATTACCATCTCTCTCTCCAGACCTTTACTATTCTGCACTATATTGGTTTTAAACTTTTTGCTTTATTCTTTGTGTAATTTATGCTTGTGAAGGACTATACAGAAAAGTAAGGCATATTGTGTGCCCTTCCAGGGATAATATTAAAGAAGAATTTCTGCACTAAATGTAATTTAAGATACATGATGGTATCTTACTTCAGAAGACTGAGCAGATAGTTACATTTGGCAGTAACCTGGGCAAGTTTTTGCTTTAAATTAACAGAAACCATAGGTTTTCTTCACTTTTTAAAATGCAGTCTCTTTTCTTTTATAAAGGTGTATGTGAATGTCTTTTTGTTCTGCTATTTTAAAATAGTATGTCTGATTACCTAGTTTTGAAGAGGCTTCTGGGAAAAGACAGATGTTTAACTCATGCAATAACACCGTTTTTAGTAGGCCGTGCTGAACTGTGCCTCCTATCTAGCCTAAAGCCCTCTTGAATTAATGCTAATCTTCACATAGATTTTGGGTTATACAGGGGGTCAAAGTCTGAACTAAATTATATATATCTTTTTAATTTATGTATTTAACATTGTTTCCTTGCATGTCGTAGTGTTTTGTGTCTGTATTAATAGTTTTCCTTTCATCTGCAGAAAGCCACTACTCCTGTGACAGACGGAATTGTTCAAGATGAGTTTTTTGTGAGTTTGAAGATGAGCACCTACCTAGTAGCCTTTGTTGTTGCAGACCTGAAAAACATCAGTAGGGAAACTAATGAGAGTCTGGTATGTTTGTTGCATTTTAAGTTCTCCCTCACCCCTCTCAAGTCAACCAGCCAATCAAAACAAAACATAAAAAATCTGTAACCCACAAGCAAGCTTTGTCTGTTTTGGATTTATTTTCTTGCTTTTATTATATTCATAATAGTATAGGGGGAAAAAGCCATATGCTATAGGTTGGGCTGACTTCAGTGCTTATACCAGATTGAGAAGACTGTTCCAGCAAAGGACTCAGCATCAGGTCTTGTTAACAGTGGAAATTTACAAAATCTAAAATTCTTAAAAGCTGTCAGAGCTGAAAGTTTTAAACTTTTAGTTTTAATACTTCATCTGCGAGGGAGTAATGTCATGAAAACCAGTTGTTCAGGTGATGTACAGGAACATTACAGTTACCAGGGAAGTGTACATACTATTTTCAAGCTGCAAATATGTTCTATGCTTGCAAAGATAATCTACTAAAAAAGCCCCAAACAAGCCCATGCCCTGCGGTAAAGCAAACAGACTAAGTTTATATCTGCATTTAGTCACCTGAATACAGTTATTTCACTGTGAGACTTTTGGTTTTTCAAGGCTGAGACAGTTGGTCCTCTTTGATCTTTGTCCTTCGTGGGAATATAGTCTGCATGGTCAGTGAGCAGTTCATACGATGTGTGCAATTACACTAACTAAAGAAAAAGCATTTCAATATTAGGAGGTGCTCCTTTATCTCGTTTTAGGAGGTCCAGAAGTTTGATGTGAGCAATGACTCTCCAACAGGAACTGGCCTTTCCTCATGAAAAGTCAGAAGTGCCAGTACCTGCCTAGAGAGGGCCAGAGGGAATAAATACTGCTAGTAACACTGAGGAGAAGCAACCCTCTGTTTAATCCAGTATACACAAGTAAAGGTACTGGTTAATAAGCTTTGAATCTGACTTGGACAAGTATTTCTAATTATAGCTGAATAAGGCATTTGGTCAGGTTAGACCACTACTTTTTTTATTCCCTCTCTAATCCCCACATTGTGGCTACCATTCAGGTGTGTATTTGAACTGTAGTCTGTTAAAACTATGTAGCCAGTTCTTTAGCAGGCATAAAACTGATGAGTATACTAAATGTTTCATGTTTGCAGAGCTCGAAACAACTACCTATGGAGGTCTGCTTTGCTTTTTTCATAAAACTGAGAGCAATTTGCATGGATTGTCAGTACTTCTGAGGTATTTTATGGCAGAGGCATGTAGGACGGGAGAAAAGGACTGTGTGATGTGTTCTAACTAAGGAAGAAGGTTCTTAATTGTGCTTCTCCTTCCATTTTGACCACCAAGCAAGGTTTGACCAAGCTAAGGAAGTCCAGCAGACCTTTAGAAGGCACCAAACACAAGGGTTTTAGCAGTATCTAAGAGTACTCGACAGCTTAAAGGAAGAAAGCGTAAGAATGGTTATACTAAGTAAGGCCAAAGTCTAGCTAGTGGGTTGTTCTATTGCCAACAGCATCTAGTAGGTCAAGGAAAATTGTAAGAAGGAAGCATATAATTACATTTTCTCAGAATGCTTCCAGCTCTTTGTGGCTGGGAGATTCAAAGATTTCGGCTAACCAGTTCACACAGAGTAAGCTTATTGTCTTAAATGTTATAAAATAGCTTAGAGTTGAAGTCTAAGAACTCAGAAGATCCTTTGGTTTTGATCTTAAAATTTGCAGCTAAGAATACGTTTCCAGGAGCACTAGATTTTGTCCTTGCTGGTTCAAACTCAAAAATTAAAAGATCACTCTATCTATCTATTTGAAATGTCATTTGTTTACTGATTTGTAGTATGGTAAAAGGAAGGGTTTTTTTTAATAGAATAGGAAAATCAGTCTCAACGTATTTTTTTGTTTGTGTATGAAAGGGCATCCTAAACCTGGATCAGCCTGTAACCTAATCGAAGTTATGTTATTGATATAGCCACTTCAGTGTGACTAGAAGGAGGCTGTAACCTTTCAATTTTTGTGAATGCTTCTTACATCAGGTCTAATATGGCTCTACTTCAGGTAGGAAAATTGATTAACTTTTGCCAGTTATTATTTCTTGGGAGAATTTCTTGCAGATGATACTAGTGTTACCATACTGATAGACAAAACTTACTGACTAATGGAGGCATGCAGGCAGTGTCATTTAACTCATGAGGGAGTGAAAAAGGAACTGGATCAACTTCTATTTATGTAGACCCTTAATGAATACTTTCCTTAAGGGTGTCAGCATTGAGTTGTTCTCACATACACACCGGTCACCTGGACAGTCTGTCTGTATTTTGACTGGCTTTAGTAAAAAAAAACCAACTCTTCACTGACAGCTTCATAACTAGTATTTGTAACTGAAGTGTACTCCGAAAACTGTCTGTCCTGGCTTCAGCATTAGCAGTCATTTTTCTCCTTGTTAGTAGCTGGTGCAGTGCTGTGTTTTTGACTTTAAGCCTGGGAACAGTGCTGATTAACACCGATATTTTTAGTTGTTGCTCAGTAATGTTTACTCTGACCAAGGACTTTCTGAGCCTCATGCTCTGCCAGGGAGGAGTGGAAGCCGGCAGGAAGCAGAGACAGGACACCTGACCCAGACTAACCAAAGGGGTATTCCATACCACAGCACGTCATGCCCAGTATAGAAAGTGGGGGCAGTAAACCAGAAGAGCTAGATTGCTGCTCTGGTTGGACTGGGTGTCGGTTGGCAGGTGGTGAGTGGTTGTATTCTCTTCCCTTGTTATTTCCCTTATCATTATTATTACTGGTGACAGCAGTAGTGGTTTGTGTTATACCTTAGTTACTGAACTGTTCTTATCTCAACCCATGGGTGTTACATTCTTTCGATTCTCTTCCCCATCCCTCTGGGAGCGGTGGGAGGAAGAAGATGGGAAAGTGAGCGAGCGGCTGCGTAGTTCTGAATTACCAGCTGGTCTTAAACCATGACACTGTGCTATCTGTTTCAGGAACTTCTGCAAGCTTCTCTTTTGCTTCTAAAGCTCTTGTAGCTATATGTTTCAAAATCTTTTTTTCTGTTTGGCCTAGGTATCCGTCTATGCCATACCACAGCATATAAACCAAGTTGAATATGCCCTAAATACATCAGTGAAACTTCTGGAATTTTATCAAAAGTACTTTTTAATAAACTACCCTCTTGAAAAATTAGGTAAGTCCTTGTCATGTGAAAATTGCAAAATAAGGTTTCACCTAAATTAAAAAAAAAAAAAAAAAGTGGTAAATACAACCATTAAGTCATTCCCAAGCTGGATTTTTTTATATGCTTTTGACACTGAATTGCTTATAATTATACGTAACATCAAAGCAGTCCATGTAAATTTAACGTGATATGCCTTGGTAGGGAGATAGAGAATTCTCAATCTGTGAATCATGTTCACCAGTGCAAAATGTGCACCCTGACTTCTCTGCATATGTATTAGTTTGACTGGAAAGGAAGATAATGAAATGTAGTCCTCTAAACCTCTGCTTTCAGTAGGGGAGCCTCATTTCCTCATTAGATGTTAATGCAAGGTCTAAAGGCAAGATCTAAACTACTTAAGAGCAGTGCTACAGAAACATAGCTGTAAGTCTATGGGGCTTCTGTGCTGCTTGAGATATGAGCACATGTCCACACCACAGGATTTTAATAATGAAGTTTTCAGGGTTTATTGAATAGAACAGGTAGATCTGAAATACATAATTGCTCTAACTAGCAGTTTTCAAATGCTTTTCTCAAATCTTTTCCAGATTTGGTAGCAATTCCTGATTTTCAGTCTGGTGCAATGGAAAACTGGGGTTTGATCACCTTCCGAGAATCAGCACTCTTGTTTGACAGTCATACTTCTACAGCAAGGGATAAAAAGTCAGTAACTGCAGTGATAGCACATGAGCTTGCCCATCAGGTACTAGTCTGGGGAGGTCATTGTTTAAATGTGGTGCATTTTTTTTTTTTTTAAATGTAATTTTGTCCTTAAACTCACTCGTGTCCTCACTGTGACGGGGTTGTACATTGTGTCTGTTGGAAATATTTGTGGTTGTATTTTTTCTAGTACAGCAGGTGGGGTGCAGCTCTGCCTGAAGTACTTAGGGAGCCGTTCATGCAAAATTATTACTGTGGTTTTGACTGGACTTGATTTCGCTGCAATCGAAGGATAGAGAAAGTGTTACTGTACTAATCCAATTTTATTTATGAAAATAGAATAGTATTTTTGGTCTTTTGTAGTGGTTTGGCAATCTGGTAACTATGGAATGGTGGAATGATCTCTGGCTGAATGAGGGATTTGCCACTTTCATGGAGTACTTTGCCATGGAAGAGATTTTTCCAGAATTACATTCAGTAAGTACTTTCTGTAACTATATTCCCCATACCTTTGGTATGATCTATGTTTTAATGCTGCCTGTAAAGAACTGATATTTACGAACTATGCTGAAATTCCCTTTCAGCACCATTGAGGTTATACGTTATCTCCTCTGCTTTATAAATTTCATTATATTGGAAGTGGTTTGGGAGGTGGGCTTTGGGTATGCTGGTTTTGTGTTTGTGGTTTTTGTTTTGTTTGGTAGTAGTCTATATGCAGCTTTTGTGTTTTCTGTAGGTTAAAGTGTTCTGTGAAGGACAGCAGGTATTAAAACATGCAGATGTCTATATATCACATTATAACTTTTCTTTACACAGAAAGTCCAGGCATATAGTCGACCAAGTACTTTTTCTAGTGAACTACTAGGAAAGTAGTACCCTTCATTTCCTAGTAGACGTAAGAAGCAACAGAGCTTCAGGTTACTAAGTATTACTATGATAATTTCTGTCTTTCCATTGCAGTACTTGCTTCTGTCTGAATCAGTTCGGGATTCAGAAATCAGGGGTCTTGTATAAAAGTATCATATGGTCCCACCTAATGAATTCTGAAAGCATTGAGTTACACAAATAGTACAAAGCACTGCTCCCACACTGGCACTTGTGTTTGCAATGTGGCTGAAGGAAAGTATTGGGTACTAAGTGACCTAGCTTTTGAAACCCTGGAAAACTTGAAGGATTCAAGTTTGATCTTTTGCTCTGTACGGAATGGATACCAGCCACTGCTGTGAAGCATCTCTGTCACTGAACGAAGACAGAGAAACCAAGATTAGTGGAAGTAAAGGGAGGGAGCAGTGGGGAGACTAATTTTGCATCCTAGATAAGGGTATCTCCTAGGAGAGGAAGGCTCTGGAACCAGCTTCGAGGAGTGTTTATGATTTGCAGTTTTAATCATGGGATTAAAAACCTGACATGTACCATGTCCTGCTTGCTGGATTGTTTTCTTCTCAGCATTCTGAGTGTGACTTTTAGTTCTTAATTCATATTTGTTGCTGCATTAAGAAAATTGGGCTGCTAATTTGGTTTGGTAGAATTCTATTTTGGAACTGAGTGTTTAAAAAATTTTTCAGTTCGGGCTAGCTTGGTTGTTGAGTTTGATGCCCACTGAAAGTACGTTTGTGGGGTGCTTCTTGGGTGCATATGGGGTAACAGGAGGAGAGAAAACTAGACTAATGGTTTAACAAGAACAAATCTAATTCTTGCATACTTTGTTTTGAAAGATGCCTGACAAAGTGCCTTCACCAACATCTGATTTCTCCAGTTGGTGGTGCCAAAGATGTGTTTTGGTAAAAATAACAGAAACCCCAAATCATTCAGAACTTTTGCATTCAAGAAGAATGGCTTTAATATTTTAAACTTTAAAGTGTATCTTTATTGTGTCATACAGAACTCTCTGCTGTGTAGCGGTAACTGTATAGAGAACTGTTTGCTTAAGTCTCAGTGAAATTAAATGGACAAATAGCAGTGCAGTCAGCTTCTTTTGAGCATTTGGAGTTGCTGTGTTCTGTTAACAATGTATTCAATTGAAATATCTTAATTCTAGAAGAAAAGAAGATATTTTGTTACTAGGATCACTAGAAGAGATGTTCTTTACATTCTCACAAGTAACACAATAGTGAGGAATTTCACCAGACTTCATACCAAAGAGGTTATGATTTTGTATTCCCTGTTTCCTGTAAATGAACTGAAAACATTGGTGAGCCAAATCTGAAACTCGACACATACTTAGTAGGTAAATTTATTTTCACTAAGGCCAATGATGCATTTACCTGAAACAGGAGTTTAAGGGTTTGGATAATGATGCAAACTCAAGAGTGAGATTCCACTGCTGAAATGATTTTATAAATAGATTCATAACATTTTTTATTTTAAATACATTTTAAATGATTGATAATGATTTTATAAATAGATTTTATAAATGCTACCCTGACAAATTTTTTGCTACCTTCATTGACAGGAAGGTGAGCAATGGCTTGTTAAGCCAATGGGATAGCAATGCAGAGACAACTTTTACTGTTCTGCTCTATGGTCAAGCTTCTCAGACACTTAAAATTTTTCCTTTTTAGGATGAAGATTTCCTTGATTTGATTTTCAAGGCTATGATGAAGGATTCCTTGAATTCTTCACATCCAGTGTCCTCTGCTGTTCAGTCTTCAGAGCAAATTGAAGAAATGTTTGATGCACTTTCTTATATCAAGGTAACTTTAGAAATATTTTGAAATATTTGGGAAATGATTAGTATTGAAAACATGAGTAAGTAGGCATACACTGATAATTGTTTGGGGGTAATTTACACTTAGCACAAACAATGCAGGATCTCTCATCAGTGTTTCTGAGCATCTATGTAGCTTTTTAATTAGGTAAAGATTACGTGTTTTTTGTTCTTACTTAATATCCTTTTGCTTCATGCATGCTTCAGCAGAAAGTAGAATACTCATGAAGATGTGAGAGGGTTACCCAGCAAGTGAAACAAAATATCCAGTTAGATATATTTACTATTTTGATGGCAAACTGTAAGAAATGCTTATGAAAAGAGTAAAAACAAGGCTCTTACTTAAGCAATTGCTTTTTTTTATACTCTCCCTGCTTTTAAAAATCAGTACTTTGGAGACTTTCTGAGCTGTAGGCTTGCATCTGGAGTACAAAATTATTTCACTGCATATCCTGGTTGTCTGCAACTTGATTATTTCTAATGTCTAGTGAGGGTTGTGAGCTCCACAGTGCCTCACCTGAAAATGCATGAGAGAGCAAGTATCTGTATTTGCCCAGTTTTTACTCACATTGTCTCAAGTTTACATACTGTGTCACATAATTTTGATAGTGTTAGAAGAAAGCCTTTTATATTGTTTAGATTAGCTCCCCCCCCCCCCCCCGCTATCTGTCTATGCTTGCAATTTCATCTAATAAGAAACCATGGGAGCAGCTAGTACTTACTAGAAAATAATCAAATACTACACCTACCTCAGTGCAGTGCTGTTCCCACAGCTGTCTTGGTTTGTCTTCTCCAATTTCTTTTTGCAAGTCTTAACTGGTCAACATGATTTGACTGCCATCCTTGAGTAGTCTGAGACACAGTTGAGGAACCTGGTCTACTCAGGGCCGATGGGTCCACCTGTCCATCTTTGGTCACTATCAAAATGCACTTGTCCTTCTGCAGTCATCTGTAGATCTACTAAGTAGATTTCCTCTTTTCCCTGTGTTGTGGTTTAACCCCAGCCAGACAGCTTTCACTCACTCACTCCCCCCCCTTCTTGCTTTCCCCCTACTCCTGGAGGGACGGAGAGGAGAATCAAAAAGAATGCAAATCCCACTGGTTGAGATAAGAACAGTTTAGCAACTAAGGTATAACACAAATCACTACTGCTACCACCAATAATAGTAATGATAAATGAAATAACAACGGAAGAGAATACAACACCTCATCACCAGGCGACCAGTAACTCGCCCCCCCCAGCCTGTCTCCAAGCACTGACCGATACCTCCTCCAACCCTGCAGTCCCCCTAGCCCTTCTGGGTAACTCCCAGTTCCCCCCTGGGCATGACGTGCTGTGGTATGGAATACCTCTTTGGTCAGTTTGGGTCAGGTGTCCTGTCTCTGCTTCCTCCCGGCTTCCCTCCTCCCTGGCAGAGCATGAGGCCCACAAAGTCCTTGGCCAAACCAAAACATCATTGTTTTCAGCTCTGTTCCCAGCCCGAAAGTCAAAACACAGCACTGCACCAGCTACCAAGAAGGAGAAAAATGACTGCTACTGCTAAACCCAGGACATTATCCACTCCTTATTCCATACCATTCATGTCATGCTCAGATCCTACATTTTCAATATACCATCACTCTTATCTAAGTGCACTCTTATCTTAGTCCATGGACCAGTCCCTATAAAGCTGCTGAGTCCATCTGGTCCATGATGTCAGGCTCCATCTCTTGTAACAGTCTTTCAGAGCAGGAGAGGCTGTGTGCAGTGTTCACACTCATGAATAACCTGGGCAATAGTGTCCATTGCTAAGTCCACCCCTCGATCATGAGTCCATCTCGATGTTGCATCTCTGCTCTGATGGCCTTAAGTGCCATGGGCCCACCAGGCTCAAAATAATTCACTGTCCCCTTCAGCAGTTTCTGCAGCTTGTTGCTGGGGACTCCATACAGCTGCCTTCCATCTCCAATGCTTCCAAAGCACTGGAGGGGCCCAGTGGACTAGATACTTGCCCATACTGTCCCACATGCCCTGCCACTCATGGCTGTCCAGCCTTGGGGGAAACCTCTTGGTCCTCCCATATCGTCGTCTAACCCCAGACAAGACCCAAACCCGACTCTGCTTAAATTTTGAGATCAGACAAAATGGTGGTGGGTAAAACACACTCTGTGTGTGTGCCAACATGGTGAACACCATCACAATCAGCAGGCAGGTCCCAAGGGTACCCAAAGGCCATTCAAAACCTTCAGAACTCTCAAGCGATGCTGCTGTACTTGTCACTGGGGCTGGTGTAGCTGCTGTGCTTGCCGGCTCTCCCACCACCAGCTTCTCTTTTCCTGAGTCCAGCTCTTCCTCCTCTGCCTTGCTGGGAAATGCTGCGGGGTCTCCTGCGTCCTCCTGGGGCTCGGCGGGCGGCTTCCGGGGAATGCTCTCGGCCGTCGCGGGGCTGAGCTCGGCCGCGGGGCTCGGCTCCTCTGCGGGGCTCGGCTCCTCCGCCGCCTTCTCCCGCTGCTCGGCAGCCGCCTCCTCCCGCTCCTCGACCGCCCCGACCTCCTCCACCGGCAGCCGCTCCCTGCCGGCCTCCGGCCCCGCTCCCGCTTGGTCCCCGGGGCCGCTCTCCCGGGCCGCTTCAGCAGCCGCCGGCTCCCGGGGCCGCCCCCCCTCGGCTCCCCAGAGCCTCACGCAGACGGAGGCGAGGGCGAGGGCCAGGACGGTGAGGAGCAGCCGGACGGCCAGGGACCAGTCCACGGCCACGTCCGTCCCGCCCTGCTGCTGGAGCCCGCCCGTATTACAAGTCATTGCCATAAAGTACAGTGAGACAGGAACCTTAGCCCAAGCCCCACACTTGATAAACACTAACACAGCAAATACCGGCTCTAAGTAAGTTACAACATTCTGAAGCTGTGAGATCAAGAGGAACAACTCTGAGAGCCAATAAATCAGCATTGTGACGAGTGACTATTAATCCGGTCAGATCTGTCGTTATCTCAACCCCTTCGTGCCCCACCTTAGGTGCCAAAAAGAACTGTCATGGTTTAACCCTAACCAGACAGCTTGTCCACTCACTACCCCCTCTTCTTGCCCTCCCCTATTCTTGGAGGGACGGAGAGGAGAATCAAAAAGAATGCAACTCCCATGGGTTGAGATAAGAACAGTTTAGTAACTAAGGTATAACACAGAATCACTACTGCTACCACCAATAATAGTAATGATAAAGGAAATAACAAGGAAAGAGAATACAACACCTCATCACCAGGCGACCAGTAACTCGCTCCCCCAGCCCGACCAAGCACCGACCGATACCTCCTCCAACCCTGCAGTCCCCCTAGCCCTTCTGGGTAACTCCCAGTTCCCCCCTGGGCATGATGTGCTCTGGTATGGAATACCTCTTTGGTCAGTTTGGGTCAGGTGTCCTGTCTCTGCTTCCTCCTGGCTTCCCCCCTCCCTGGCAGAGCATGAGGCCCACAAAGTCCTTGGCCAAACCAAAACATCATTGTTTTCAGCTCTGTTCCCAGCCCGAAAGTCAAAACACAGCACTGCACCAGCTACCAAGAAGGAGAAAAATGACTGCTAGTGCTAAACCCAGGACACCCTGTATTTTTAGCTTTTTGATACAACTGCAAATCATATGACTGTTAAATACCATCTCACAAGTGCAGTTCTGTACCGTACAGAAGAGTATTTCTAATGAAACATGGCAGCCAGCAGAGACCAGTAGGAAGGCAATATTTCTGTGATGATACCAACTAGAAAAATTTTCAAGCTGTATCAGCATTTTTTGTAAGTGTATTTGGACTTTATGAAATACTAAAAGAAATATTTTTACAAGGCATCTGAGTGTTAATGTAATTATTCAAATGATATCATTTGGCGTAAAATCTGCCAGCTACTGAGTTATTCCTGTACTGTGAAAAAGCATATGCCTCAACAAATTCTATACCTTTAATTTACCAATTCTTTTCCTTTTCTTTCTTTTTTTTTTCTTTTTCTTTTTTTTCCCCTCCCTGAAGGGCGCTTCACTTCTTTTGATGCTGAAGCACTATCTCACTAAGGATGTTTTCCAAGCTGGAATTGAGGTATACTTGCATAATCACAAGTATGGATGTGCCCAGAATGATGACTTGTGGGACAGCATTAATGAGGTATCCATCTTTGATATGCTGTTCTTGTTTGTTGTAAATTTGATTTATTTCTTGGTTTGTGAAAGAAATAAGATAATAGATCATAGGGAAATACTCTGCAAATTCTTGCTTATCATAGTCAAAAGTTCTGTCATACAGATATGGATATTTCTGTAGCTTTTAGGACCCCACTGAGTGTCATCCCCCCCAAAAAAAACCACTGGAAGTGGGAATGCACTATCATGCATATCCACATGGTGTATACATCACTATGTACATATTCTTTCTCGAGTTGCATTGTCAGTGTATTAAGACCAGAATAAAGATATCTCAAAAGCAGGGCAAAACTTTACTTTCCAATAATCCAACTTCTGTAGAGGTCTTGGGATACACTGTACTAGTGTAACTTCATTTCAGTGACAGAACTGATTCAAGAAGCATGGCTGGGGTTGTAGGAAAACCGAGTGTGGGGGGCAGTTTAGTTCAGCAGCTCTCAAATGGTAAGGTAGGCATTAAAGTGGGTGTGAGGGCAGAGACTGAGGGCAGAGACTGAGGGCACAAGAAACCAATGGCACAGGCAGGAGAGAGCGAGAGTTTGCAAGCCTCTGGAAGCCAGGGAGAGTAGGGACAAGAGGGTGCATGTGGAGGAGGAGAGAGAGACAGCATAAGGGAGAAGGGGAGGAAGAGGGGTGGAGTGGGAGAAGTGGAATGGATAGAGCACTGGGGTGGGGGGTGAAAGGGAAAATGTGTCTGAGTGAGAGTGCAAGAAAGGGACTGATCCCAACAAGAAAGAGCTGATGAGTATCACCAAGGGAATGTCAAGATAGTTGTGTAAGAGAAGGAAACATATTTCCCTGTGAGTGTGTGTACTGCATAGTGTGCATAAAAGTCTCAGAAATATATGTGAGGTTTCCCTGCAGAAGCTGAGTCCTAAGCAGAATACTAACTTAATATTTAGTTTTGGTTCTTCACATCTACCTCATGATATTTGAAATTCTGCAGAATGGAAAACTATTACTTATTCCCATATGTCACAAGTGGCTGTGTGTGTTCAGTCATACAGTCACTAGTTTGTCAGCTAGTGAGGGATTATCAGTGATATCAGACTGTGACTCTCTTATGACAGAGAAGTCTTCTAGTTTGTATAGTGATATTTTTTTAAATAGACTTTTCTTTTTTCAACTTCTGCAAAATGGAGCCTTCTGACCATACAACTTCAGTCTTGTATACATAGAAAACATACCTCAGGGAGATGGTATTATCTATACAGAGTGGCTGAAGAGACCACACACATGCTTACATTAATTAAATGTGAGGACTTAACTGCTACTGGCTGCAGTGTTTAACTGTTACTAGAGCACAAGAAAAGTGTCATTCTCACAACTTTAAATTACTTGCTTAGTCTGTCTCCCTGGCTCAGAAAGAAGGGGTTTTTTATCATAACTCTACTCTTTGCCCATGGGCCAAGGTCAGCTTTTCTGCAAACTCAGCAGACCTCTTTCTCCAGTCTTTTGGAACCTCAGTCATCTTTTAAGAGTCAAAAATAATAGCTACTAACTGTGGGATTGCTTCACCCACCTGTAATAGTATTGCTAAGTGAATTGCATCCAACCAATTTAGTAACATCTAACATCAGAACTCATTTCTTGTGTATTTCTTGTTTTAATGACAAATAACCATTTCTATTTAGTGCAAATTTAATAGTTGCCAAAATCCTGCTGACACCAAGTATTCAACAGCATTACCTGCCAGAAATTGCCCTTCTGCGTGGAGGAGCCCACTAACTGGTCCTTTAGATGTTTTCTGATGCTCCTTAAGATGTTTACCTTTTCTCCTATGTCCATTTCTGGTTGCACCTAATTTTGTGCCTGAGCCTTTGGTTTGTTTTGCGGAGTTTTTTTGCACGTAGGTGGTAATGCTGTTGATTTTGTATTTTCATGTGGCCTACATTTTTGTACACTTCCATATTCCCTTTTTGGATTAGAATTATTTCAGTAGATCAAGCTTCAAGTTTACTCATGTCTCTATACAGATTAAACATAAATCTTTCTGCCAGTCTTTAGGTGGCTCACAGTGTTACACTGGAAGACTAAGATGAGAAACAGGCAAGTTGACAAAATGCAAATGTTAGACTTCATTAGTTTCCTGATCTTTTAACATTCCTCCTGGGTTTGAGTTTTTTTGTGGGGTTTTGTTTGTTTGTTTGGTTTTGGCTTGCTGGCATTGATCTTATAGATTTCCTGGTGTTTTCAAAGTGTAACAGGAAAGAAAGAAAAGATAGTGGCAAAAGGAAGTGATAGCATGCATCAGGGCTTCGTGGTGGATTTGCTGAAGGATTGCATGAAGTACCATTGTGAGTATCACAATGACAGCTTGTGATAACAAGACAGAGGAAAAGGCCAGGCTGGATGTGTTTGTGGGTAAAACCTGATCTAGTTGAAGATGTCCCTGCTTATTGAAGGGTGGGTTGACCTGTGAAGGTCCCTTCCAACCCAAACTGTTCTATGAAAAGGATTTAGCGAACAGTGGTTTTCTGGGAATAGATAAAAAGTTAAAAAAATATGTAGGCTGCAAATTCTATAAACTTTAAACTTCTGATAGAGAATTGTTTCCCTTGAATTGAAACAGCTATGTAAAGTTCATGGTCATTCTCTGCATAAATAGTGTAGTATTTTCCCAAGAGGTTAAACTGTACATGTTGCTGTTGGCTTGAAGAGAGAACAGTTGACAGTAGGATGCTGCTGAGGTAAACTAGAAAAAGACACAGTATAGGTTGGTATAAGTTAAATGTGAATTGAATAATGATATATTAATTTTCTTCTGTTCCTGATAGCTCAACCTAAAACATATTTTTGTAAGTTAGAGGACATACTGCTTTTCAGGTTGGATGATCATCTTGGCTAATAAAAAAGCAGTGATACATAGACATTATAAAGTATTTGTCCTTCAGTGGGGATGTTTTAGTACAAACAGTTCCTGACAGATTAGAAGAGGTTGAAGGTTAAGCTATACAAAGGCTGGTCAGTGGGAGGAAAGAAAAAAAGGAGATAAAGGGTATGCTGTTTTTGTTGTACAAACTACTTTGCTTTAATTCAATTTGTAATGTTAATTTCAGAATTAAAAGATCTTGAATCCAAAACACCCATATAATATCAGAATACCAATATGGAAACACAAAAGGGTAGGAGGGAACTTGGGAGCTTACCATAACTTCCTTTTCTGTAACATTTTCTTCTTCACTCTCATGACACACTGGTTCAGCATACCTAATGTTTCCAATCTGTCTTTTCACTGATCAGCTAGGATTCCCTCAATTTAAGAATATAAAACCCAGCTGCTCCCCTAAATCATTGCTTAGAAAAGTTGCAAGCTCAGTGTCAAAGTGCTTGCTTACAGATACAGAACCACAATACTACGTACTTGGCAAGTTAAAGAGGAAGGTTTAGGAACGTTCTCCATTTGCTATTTTCTTGTTATTTTATGATTGTTTTGTACAGATTACCAATGGAACACTAGATGTAAAAAAGTTGATGAAAACTTGGATCGTGCAGAAAGGATTTCCTTTAGTCACTGTTGTCCGAAAGGGAAAGATTATTTCTGTAAAACAAGAGAAATATTTGTACCTCATGGAACCAGAAAACTGGACGCCAGATGCAAGGTTATTGCCTTCTTAATACTTTTTATCTGTTAAAATCTACCTATAGATATCTTTCCTGTATCTTGTACATATTTCTCACTTATATTCATACGTTCTAGTATTTTTTTTTGAAGGCAGGTAGTAATAGAAAAGTGGCACACATTCACACATCTAGTATTTTAATACCATAAGGCAGATTCCACAGGTAAAGCTTTCTTTTAATTTCAGAAAATTTTTATGTGGATAATAGGAAGCTGAAGAAAGGCAGGTTGCAGAAGTTACAGATGCATGTTTTACTTAAGAGCCTTTACTCCTTCCTGCCAAAATTTAGCGTGTATCTTGGAATGTTAATGGAATGTTAATGTTAATGAAAATGTTAATGTTAATGGAAATGGAATGTATATGTTAATGGAAAGTTGAGAAGCTAGAGTTACTTTCTTCACTTAAAATCGTTAAGACGGCAGTAATGCATGACAGCACATGGCTAAATATATGAGAGACAATATCCATGGTACCAAAGCCTAAAAGGAAGTACATATGCAAATGGTGAGAAAGAAAAATTGTGGCAGTTGCTAATTATAAGAATGAATTCATGCAAATACATCTTATATTATGAACCTTACTGAACTAACCAAAATATGAACATTTGAATCCTTTTGAGATTCTGGTGTTCTTATTCAGTTGTTTGAAGTCTTAACAGGAACTGAGTCCTTTCCATTGTCTTAAAGAGTCAGGCCATGAAAGGATTTGTCTTATGAAATATTGATGTCACGGGGTTTTGTTTTATTTTTGTTGTATGGAGGAAGGAAAATAATGTGTGATTGAAAGGTAAAAGAAGAAGGAAAGGATCATTAGGCTTAATTGTTCTTTTGTTTCTAGTCGATGTCAATTTGGGGAATGCATAAAAAGCTTTTGAAGAAGAGTGCTCTGTGTGAGCTATTACACAGAAGGGGTACTTGTCAAAATTGGAATATGTGCATATTGCATATGTGCAACTTATTTCATCTCCCTCAAAGTGGTGTTTTCTCTAAACAGTTAAGAGTCCTTATCATCATTATAAGCAACCATAGCACTTACTCTTCCAGCCTGGCATTCACTTGGGACAGTCCTTGTGGTATGCAGTCACTTTTGGTTTCTATTCCTATGATTTGGAATTTGAGTCTTCTATGTGACTCAATACAAATTGTTTTAAAAAATAATTAATTTAAATTTTCAGGAAGACAGAACATTTGACTGAGGTGAAAATAATACTGCTAATACAGCCAGAGATTTCCTGTCCATATGACAATAGCATAAGGGTAATGGCTTGAAGCTAAAGGAGGGTAGGTTCAGACCATATATAGAGGAGAAATCTTTTACAAGGAGGGTGATGGAACAATGCCACATGTTGTCCCTGGGAAGTTATGGATGCTGCATCCCTGAAAACATTCGCAGTCTGGTTGGGCAGGGCTCTGAGCAACCTGGTCTAGTTGTGTATTGCAGTACGGGTGGACTTAGGTGACCTTTAAAGGTCCCTTCCAACTCCAACCATTCTGTGATTCTGTGGAAATTTCACACTTCTCAATGTTGTAGGAATAAACAAATAATTACTATACATTTATTTTCATATTCTGATTGCATGAATGAGATTTAAGCTATTATTTTACACAGCATGCTGTGGTTCTATTACCATTCATCATAGAATCATAGAATAGTTAGGGTTGGAAAGGACCTTAAGATCATCTAGTTCCACCCCCCCCACCATGAAATAGTAATTTTAATATATTAAAATGCTTAATTAAAAAAAAATCAACCAAACAAAAACACCCTTCAAGACAAGAATAATATATGTGTAATATGTAAGTAAACATTTGCTTTTCTTTGCAGTTATCTGTGGCATATTCCTCTCACCTACATAACTAGTAGCTGTAACTTCACCCATTGTACTAATGCATATTTATTGGACCAGAAGTCAGGTATGTCTCCAAGCTTCAGTAGCAAGTTACGTAAGTATTATAGATTACTGATGTTTCTGAGCGCACAGTTCAGTGAGATGTGAAGATGAAGCCGTATGTAGTACAAAATAATTGCAGAGATCTGGAGTCAGCCACTACTATTGGTGTCATCATTAGAAAGTTGGTTCCCTATAGCATTATATGTACAAGTAAATGGCAGCAAGTGGAGCAGAAGCACAAGATTGAAATTTGTAAAAACCTGTACTTTTTTTCCTCCAAATGCACGTATAAAATCTCTGAAACTGCATGTCCTTCAGAGAGCAGGTAATGCAAGAGCTGCTCTGCGAGTGAGCCGAAATGTGAGGAAGTCACTTTCCACTGAAATATTACTTCCTTGCCTTAATAGTACAAGAAAATGCTGCATCTGGATCAGATTTAAGTTTTTGAGGGATGATGTAGAACTTTTCACACAAAACTGTTTCACACAAAGCTGCTTAATTGGATGTGGGTTTGATCTTACCAGAATACCAAAGTAGCCTTATTTCATAATTTTTGTTTCACCTTAAATGGTTCTGTTGATGGTCGCATGTTCATTGTATTAGTACCTCACTCACTGCAGAAAGTTGGATGTGGGGGATATAAGAGTAGGAGATTTTACAAAAGTGTTTTAGGTAGAATATTTACTAAATTTCAAACGCATTGTAGGTGCTGTGGTAATTGACCTTTTTGGCATTAGTTCAACTGAAATGAAGAACTTTTTCCCAAAGCCTGGCTTCTTCTATCTAGTTGACTTTGAAACTAGAGTTGGCCTTGCATCTAATTAATGCCCTCTCTTTGTATATACCTGAAAGTATGCAGAGAAAAGATGGGGTTTGAAAAGAGGACTTGACAGAAGAGGAAAAATTAACTGCATAGATAAATCTTGGTGCAGATTGGAATACTATTCATTCAGTCAGATGTAGGAAAGAGGAAGAACTACAGCCTGGAATTTTGGAGCCTTCTCATGGAACCTTTGTACTGACTATTCCTTCTTCATAGTAGGGGAACTAGTGGGTGGAAAAGGATTTATTTATTCTCTGGAACCAGTCTACTTCATAGAGTTGGATTTGAACAAACAGTTGCTAAGTGTTTGTTTCTGCTGCTGATTGTCTATCTATTAGCTATCATTGAACTTCCAGAAGAGGTGGAATGGATAAAATTCAATGTGGACATGAACGGCTATTACATAGTACACTATGGTGAAGACTGGAAAACACTTATTGATCTTTTGAAAAAAAACCATACTGCTTTGAGTCCTAAAGACAGAGCCAATTTAATCAACAATATCTTCAACCTTGCAGGGTAAGACTTTTATATTGGAAAACAGTTGATCTGTGTTTAAAGATTTTTCCAAGTCAAATAAGATCAGACTTAGATTGTGGAAAGACTGCTTCAGGGGAGTTTTAATTTAGTCTTTATTAGCCAGTTGAAACTGTTCACTCTTCACTATTCCTTTTTAATTATTTCACAGATGTTTCTGTAGTGGTGTTTCATGTTATCTCCCTGTTCTTTATAGCAGCATCCATTTATTTGCATCACAAAAAGCCACATGATAGCTGCCATTTCAGAAAGATGGTTTTCTTTAGTGTCTGATAATCTGCCTAGCAGGCTGTTTTCCTGTACTCTGTCAATGAGTGCTTCACTTTAGACAAGTAAGCTATTTGCCTGTCAAATTTTCACTGGCTCCCTCTCTCCTCTTACACCACTGCCATCAGAGCTGGTGAGATACAGCATTCTGGATGACCTCTTTGACAGCTGCTTCCTGTATCAGAATACCCTTGTTTATGATAAACATTTTTAAACATCGTTTTGTTAATTAAAGGCAAATTTGGCCATTGTTGCTTTGTTCAGATCTTACTGATGCTGTCATATAAAAATCACTAAATCCAAAGTGTTTCTTTTTGTTAATCTTTCTGTTCCCCAGTCCCTCTGTTAGTGTGATGGGAGAGCATCACTTCTGATCAAGTTTCAGGGAGGGCTTTTGTTTTGGAAGTCATTTTAATGTTTGTATTTATTGACCTATAGTCTAGGAAAAGAGTCTCTGGAAAAGGCCTTTGAGCTCATTGATTACCTTAACAAAGAGAGCAGCACTGCGCCACTCACTCAAGCTTTGTTTCAGCTGAGTCTTATATACAACCTTTTAGAGAAAAAGGGTGAACAACAGCTGGCAGCACGCCTCATGGTATGTCTTAGTATTCTGTAAATCAGATTTGAAATAATTACCTGTAATGTTCTTGATAGTTACATTATCTTTTTTAAGTGTTGACAGTTGAGTATTTAGTAATCTCACTAAATTGGATGGGGATTTTAGATAGTATTTAGTAATCTCACTAAAATGGATGGGGATTTTAGATAGTTGCCAGTATTGCCTGCTTTCCTTAAGTCTTTTGTTAAGGGTAATTAGTGAGTGCTTAGGGAAAATTATAAAAACCAAAAACTTCTTACTATGTTATTTTTCCTTATTTAGTATTTATTCAAATATTTGAGAGATATGCTGTGATAAACAGACCAAGCTGTGGTTTGCAATGCAGTGTCTATGAGGTAATATTTAAGTTAAAGTGTTTTACCTGAGATGTAGTAGCTGGTGGGTACCTAGCTGTGTTTTTGGCAAGGTAGAAGACTACAAACACGAACAGTGTTCAGCCTACAGGTAAAGGCTTGTTGGTTTGTTTGTGCTAAACTAAGGTGTATTAACTGTCACCTGGCAGGCTTAGAGGCTTTTTTTTTTTTTTTTTTAAACTAATTTTGTGTGTATATATAGAGATAATTTTGTAATATGTATATCTAGGAAATCCTCTTGGGAAGAACTAGCTATTGCTAATGATTTTTTATCCTTTAGCACAGAATAGAGCGCCTGCTTGGAGAAAAAATTGATCAACAGAGTTGGACAGATGATGGGGTCTTGTCTCAACGAGAGCTCCGGTCAACGCTGCTAGCTTTTGCCTGCACCCATGATATAAGAAACTGTAGAACAACTGCCAGTGAAATGTTTGAGAAGTGGGTGAACTCTAATGGAACAATGAGGTACCGCAAAAACTGCGTTTCCAATTCTTTTATCTACCTGTTTCCTGTTACCTTGCCACCATTTTTTCTGGGTGGGTGGGTAAACAAACAAAACAATAATAAATACAAAAAAAGTAAAAGAAACTCCAACCACACCACCAACTAAGCATGGATGATAAGCATTTCATTCTTTTACTGTTTTTTATGTAGAAGAAGTTGCTATTTCAAGATGAGAGGGAGTACTGTGCTAGAATTTGATTTTGTCTGCAGACTTACTAATTGCTTCCATCTGCATTTCCTGCACGCTCAATAATTGCTTAATAGCAACATCAGAGCATACCTTTTAATCCTGCAGAATTCATTCTGCTCCGGATTCATGTGCATTTTGAACCACAGAAAATTACTCAGATTTTTGTACAATTTACTGTGCTTTCACATGACTAAAATGATTTGCTTTTTTTCCCAGTGACTTAAGGTATTAGACTGTCATGAGTTTAGTCCACCAAACTTACAATTGCTCAAGAGAGAGGCATCTCTTTCAAGCTGATATTTTCATTTTGTGACTTTTCTTCCTTTTGTTCTCAGATGAGCATTTTTATGTCCCCCCTTTTGTTTCTTTGCTTGTTTTTTTTTGTTTTGTTTTGTTGTATTTCTTTTTTTTTCCCTGTAGCTTGCCTAGTGATGTTATGAAAGCCATATTTACAGCTGGAGCCAAATCTAGTGATGGCTGGGACTTCCTCCTAAAGATGTACTCCTCTTCAGTTTCTGAAGCAGAGAAAAGTAAAATGATTGAAGCCCTGGCCAGCACAGAAGATGTCAGAAAGCTAATCTGGTATGAAGGAGCAAAAAAAGTAGCTGTGTAAACTAAAAGTGTTAAAAATCTTCTATGAAAAAATGTATTGCCTTTTTTGTATTGTTGAAAATGTTTCTGATTGCTAATGAAAATCTATTCACATATTTTGTACAGCCTTAAATAAATTATTTTTAAGTGAGAAGTATCAGCTTCTTCAGGATTATGTAACAGAACAGCTTAAAAAGACAGATTCTGAATATTTATAAAGAGAAAACAGTTTAACTTCAAGGCTTTGTGCTACTGGTAACAGAAAATTGCAGATTTTGTGGTGAAGGTAACAAAATTGCAGGTTGCTTTATGGAGTCGTAAAAGATTGGTGTATCTTTATAACAAAGATAATAACTAGTTTGGGGTTTGGTTTTTTTTTTTTGGGGGGTTGTTTTTTTTGTTTGTTTTAGTTGTTTGGGGTTTGTTGGTGGTTGCTTTTGGTTTTGTTTTTTTCCATTTTCTTTCTTTCCTTGGGTGAAATTTTGACCTTACAGTATGCTCCAACACCACTCCGTAGACCAAATTTCAGTTCTGCATGAAGGACACCAGGGCTGTCCTGCTAGGTGATTTGTGCTACAGCTTTCTTCTCTGTTGTCTTTTATGCATTGTTAGAATTTGCTTCACCTTTTCCAAGAACAATGAAAATTCAGTTACTTGGCTTAGAGCTAATATCTCGCTGGTACTTGGAAACTAATGTGAAGTAAATACAGTGGTTATTAAATGGAGCATTGGCGTGTTCTAGATGCCAAAAGTTCTTTGTTATTTGGTCTATTATATAATCTTTTCCATGTAATTTAGGAGTCTCAGGAGAATTGTGAAGATTTGAACAGATGTTTTTACCTGTCCCTTTTCATATGCTTTGTCTTTTAGGTTAATGCAGAACAGCCTTGAAGGAGAAGTCATCAGGACACAGGAGCTTTCACACATCATAGCAACTGTTAGCCAGAGTTTACCTGGATATTTGTTGGCTTGGGACTTTGTCAAAGAGAACTGGGAAAAGCTTACACGAAAGTAAGGCTTTTGATGTAGCTGAAACTTCACACTTACAATGGCAAAAGCACCTGTTTGTTTCTTTCAAGCACAATAATAAATAGTTGGTTTCATATGAGATGATTTGTATTAAAATTTTAACCCGTTTAAAAATCTTATTTTACAAAAATTACATGGAACATAAACTTTGAAGTATCACCAGTAGCTGATGGGATTTTGTAGACTTGTAGAGCTTCATAGTGATTCTGAAAAATCTTGATTTGGATTTCTGTTAAAAAGGATACTGTCTTTAAGATGATTACCACAGATTCAGGGTATTTATATGGATCAAATGCATTCAAAATCTGACCCAGGGAATTCATTCAGATTTATATTTTTTCCCCCTTTTTACAGCAGGCACAAATCCAAATAACCAATAAATACTGCTTGCTTTAGAAATACATGTTCTCCTTAACAGGCCTTGAAAGGTATCCAGCAGGACAGCTAGCTTGCATGTCTCCAAAAAGCCAACAGTTCATGGAAAACTGTATTTCTAAATCCTCGTATTGATTTGGAACAGTTTCACATTGCTAAAAAAAGCTTCTTATACATGAAAATTTCTGCTCTAGCAAGCTGTTATTCATACAATCATAGAATCATAGAATAGTTAGGGTTGGAAAGGACCTTAAGATCATCAAGTTCCAACCCCCCTGCCATGGGCAGGGACAACTCGCTCTAAACCATATCACCCAAGGCCTCTTCCAACCTGGCCTTGAACACTGCCAGGGATGGAGCATTCACAACCTCCTTGGGCAACCTATTCCAATATTACAAAATTACTTTGCTTGAAATGAAACCTGGTTGCAGATTCAATTACTGTATAGTTTTGAATACATGCCACAAATAAAGGTATTTGTATTCGGTGTGTGGTGTCCTCAGTTCTCTACTGTTTAAACTGTGATATAAGTTTGAAAATTTTCCATGTTTAGAGGGATTAGGGTACTAGGAGTCTTGGAGTTCTAAGACTTGTATGTCTTAATAAATTAGATCTGTAAACTTGAATTCAAGTCCTTTTAATGATTTCCAACTATTGAAAAGGTAGAAATAAGAATGTGCACATGTATACTGAACTTGCATCTTGAAGTGGCTCTTAGTTAAAAATAACTTCTGTTTTTATTTCAGGTTTCACCTAGGCTCATACACTATCCAGAATATCATTAGCTGGTCGACTTCTCAGTTTGCAACAAAGGCACACTTGATTGAGGTTGGTGGCTTAATCTACCAGAAAGGGATCTTTCCTTAGTTCTAATGCTGTTTTCATTTACTTGAGGGAAGAAGAAAACACATGTAATTTCTGTCCTTGAGGTCCTTTTGCTAGGATATACATCTCTTGCTTTCCCTACTTCACACACAGCAAACATGGCAAATACATACAAATACTTCACAACATGGCAAATACATACATGAACGTATTGAAGATCACATACTCAGTATGTGGCACAGTTGCATATAGAACTGAATCCAGTTACCTGTTTAAATTGTTTTGTTTTCCTGTTAACTGTAATAACACTGTCTCCCAAAATAATTATTCAGTCTAAATAGAATTTTGGTCTAGATTTTGTGAAGAAGCTATGGAATCTCTGGAATGTGATGCAGTGCCACAAAACCTGAATTTGCTGTAACACTCCCACAGAGCTATTGTAGGGGTTGAGTATCAGTTAAAAGCCAGTCAATAGCCGTAAGAAATTAGAAATCTAACAAGTTAATGTATCAAGCTTATGGCTTAGTCCAATATTATCATTCAGGTAATTTTGTAGAGGTAATCGTTCAGAGTTTGATCTATAGTATTATAATTGTTAGCATTGATAATTATGAGTGGGTATGAGGTTCATTCCAAGGCACTGAAGAGGATTGCTTGCAATGAGTTGTCACAGAACAAGACTCCTGTTCCAGAATTTTTGAGTGCTCTGTGATTATAAGTGAATGTCTGTTTATTGGTGAAATACCTTAGTGAAACCAAACTAATTACTGTTGCAGTTCTCATGAAAAATGCTTTCCTTGCATTTTGGGAACTCCTTTGAGAGGTTTGCTTACTGCATAGATAAAAGTGATTCTCAGGGATTTCCTGCCTTTGTTTCTGAATATGTTTGTGTGGGCAGTGTTGATTATAAGGAAGATGTTCTTTTTCTTTCTTTTCTCTTGCTATGCAGGTGAAGTCATTTTTTGAGTCAAAATCAGAGCAGAGTTCTCAACTGCATTCTGTAAAAGAGGCAATCGACACAATTCAGCTCAACATCCAGTGGATGGAGAGGAACTTAGCAATGCTGCAAGAACTACTGTAGTATATAATGCTGTGGTGTGTCAGCCCTTTTGAAGCTCTATGGGCAGTTGCTGTATTTCTTTTGCAAAAGCCCTGGTTAAACCAGGCATCACTGCAACACTGCACTATTAAAGAGTCTAGATAGCTCAGGGCATGCCGCAGATCTTTATTTTCCTTGGAACATTAATGAGCAAGATGTATTTATTCTGAAACTGTTTTCATCTATAGACAAAATATCTGCACAAATGATTTAATATAATTTTATATTTGAAACATATGCTCTTCCATTTGGAGCTGTGCTGTGCTTCCTTAGCAGAGGGTTAATACTGACAGAAAGAAAGAATGAGTTACCATGAACTGTTATTTCTTTGCAGATTGCTTCTTGAGCTGTAGATTTTTATAATGTTAAACTGTAGGTGGTTTCCACATTTGTACATAGAAGCTGTTATGAAACAAAATCATACTTCAGATGTATAAGTAATAGTTGATCTTATAAAGTACTCCAGTTTGAGGTGAAATTAAATAAGGTTCTGATTTAAGTTTGGATTTTTTATTTTCACAGTAGTCTTTAGGAAATGGTAATATCTCATGCTGGTAGTATACACTTTGATGTATGAAGTGGCTGGGTGGTAGTGTGGAAAAGAAAAACCAGATAGCAAAACCAACTGTTAGAGAGATGGGATTTCCAGAAACGCTGATGTGACTGGAACTTTTACTCTGAATTTATTAGACTTTTGTTTTTTCCTTGTCTAATAACTCACATATCACAGTATACTTCATGAACTTTGCTAACTCTTTCTGACATCACCTTTAGGAAATCTTTTCATTTAGATTTTAGTGATTTGTTCTACTGTTGTGGAAAACCTTGTGAGACAAATCTCCAAAATCTTCTAAAGAAAATGATCCAAAACATGAATGTGCTACATTAAAAAGGTGAAATACCTACTGTGCAATATGCATCTGTGTCAAAATCAGTGAAAAAGGCATTTTTGAGGTATAGCATATACATATACAACACATGCAAGTGTAAACATACCTTTTTATCTGGAGATTTGTTCTTACTTATTTCATTACTAATACACCTTTTGTGGATTCATGCAAGCGGATTCAGGACTATTGTTGTCTTATCGTTGTCCAGTTATGTGGTCAGTTATAAACTAGAATGAAAGCACTAACAACTAGAAGTTGTACTGTTTTAATTAAGCTAATTTCAGCTACACTTAATTCTGAAGAGTACTTTGAATTAAAGTTAAATTAATGGACTTAAAAATTTGTCACAGTGGAACTTAAATTGAATGCTTTAATTAATGAAACCGCAGCATTGTTTGTTAATTTGGTTAGCAAAAATTGTAAGCAATGACAGCTTAGGCATTAACATACTTCTCCCATTTTTTCCTGAATATCTGTGAAAAAATCCTGGAAAAGAAATTCCTATTTTTTCAGATCACATTAGAATTACAGATTTTTTAACCTTGAAATTATCTGAAAGAATGTTAGATCTTAATAGTGTATAGACCCTTGTTTGCTCAAAAGGCCCAGAAATGAGTAATTTTTACACGCACTGAAAAAGGAACTGGCAGTATTGTCCTGGGTTTAGCAGTATGTAAGTATGTAAGCAGACACAGTATGAACACTGAAAATAAATGGTACTTCCTTGAAAGTGATGGAATTAGAATTGTAATTAATTATGTTCTGGGAATCTTTGTACTGCTGTGTGTTACAGCTTCATTTCCTTGTTTATTTAAAATCTTTGGAATCTCTAAAGAATCACGAGTTCCATCTTTGCATATTTGTGCATAAATATGTCATCTCTCTTTCTAGTTACGTCTTCATTTTAAATGAGAAGTCAGTGGTAAACTTTTTCTCTCTCTTCTATCCCAAGTACTTTACCTCATCCCTAACTGCATTACTGAGGCATAATGGAAACTGTGGAAGATCCTGTCTTCTATCCTGATTTTGTTGTGGGGATTTAAAAAAATTACTATTTTGCTCAAATGCTTTAATGACTATTATGAAAGCTGAGTTTTGGACAAGAATCTTTACCAAGAAACTCTGGAAAGCTGGGGAAGTTGTGGAGGCATTGTTGAATAATGTTTCAGTTTACTGTTTGTTGCATATGCATACTTTTGGTTCGTCAGGTATAGAGATTTTAACAAGTCTTTTTTTGGCATGGAATCTCTGACCCTATTAAAAACTGTGCTGGAGTCCTTCTTCCATGAGAAATGTTTAATTATACTCCTCCCATTCCCAGTAAACTACGAACCGATGAAGACTGGAATGTCTTAAGATACGGTGCGGGGCAGCCAGCCTTTAATGATGAGGCTCCATTTTATACATGGTCTTAGCATAGAGTGAGGGTCAGGAAAAGGGTTAGGATTCAATGCAAGACAAATTATATAGCCCCAGTACTACAAAAACTGCAAAAAGGCTGCCAAGGAACGTGAGGGCTGCGAAAAGCTTTGTTTTGGGCGCTTTTTCTTGGGAGCCGTAGCTGGCAGCACTCCTGTTGGTCCTGGAGTCTGGCTGGGATTAGGTGAAGCTTAGGCATAGGTGCAGGACAAAGAGCAGAGCCTCTTGTGTGTGTTTGGAACGTAGGCTGTAGTTGTGGGGCTGGGATGGGGCTGTAGGGGAAGATGAGGGCTGTTGAAAGCTTTTAGTTTGGCCTTATCTGTATGGGAAACACTGCTGACAGCTGTCACAGTTTTCTTCTGTTCTTGCTAGAATGAGGGTGTAGGTGAGGTGGTGGAATGTGCTCGGAACTGCAGGGGTTTGTGGTATGCAATGGGGGTGTCACATGAAGGTGAGGGTTGCAAACAACTTTAGATTTGGGCCACCACTGTCTGGGAGACATGATTGCAGGCTGCGTGTTATGGACCTGATCTCAGGCTTAAGCAGAAGGCGTAGGTAAGATTCAGAATCACAGATCCTGTATATCCCCAGCTGCAAAACCTCAGAGGAGAATCTCAAGTCTTTCCAGGTGCTTTCTGCCAGAGGCTCCAGGTCGGGCTGTTGTCCCTGGCTGAAGTGTAAAGCATTATTCTTCTTCCAGGCCACTTGATAGCAAGGGTTTAAAATCAGACTATAATGTGGAATTTGCATTACCCAAAACCCCATGACACTTAAGAAAGCTTGTGCTTATTTTTGTTAGTTGGTGGAGACCTAACTGATCTTTTCAGTCTCATCCACTGGAATATGGATGACACCCATCTTACTATTTTATTCCTAAAAACTGGAGCTCCTATGAAGGCCATTTGACATTTGTTTTATGGCAAAAAACAATTTCAAAAGAATCTGGATTATTCTGCCTTTCTTGGACCTCTGCTGTGTGGCCCACACACGATGTCATCAATATACTGCAGGCATTCAGGAGTTTTGGCTTGTTCCAATGCAGTCAAAATCCAGCCCAAATCCAGCAAATTTGGTTTCTTTTTTCTTGCTTTTATTTTTGTTTGTTTTTAATTCCCATCTTGGCATGAGCAGGGAGAGTTTTTACAATCTTTACACTTACGAAATACAATTTCCCCCCTTCCAATCAAACACACGTTAAATAAGTGGTAAATCTGGGAAGTACTCCCTCTCATGTCTGCGGGGCTGGATGCTGCCGAAAGCCTAGCTGTGTGAGATGGGGCACAGGCGCAAGGAGCACTGTCACCCTGGGAGCCTCTGAAGGGGAAGGTGGAACATCCCAGAGCCTTGTGGAGGCAACTAGTGAGCTACTGCTGGCAACTAGGAACGCCAGAGGGCAACCCAGAACCTTTGTGAGCAACTGGGAGCAACTGCAAACCCTTCAAGAGCCTCTGTGTGTAACTGGGAGTGTCTAAAGGTTACTGGGAACCCCTGAGTGCAACCCAGAACCCTGCTGGAGGCGGCTGTTTGTCTATGGAATGTGCCTAATGATAGTGCTTTGCCCTGCACACCCCTGCCTGCTCCTCATCAATTCCAAGCAAGGCCTCCTCCCCACCTCAACCAGTTTGGAACTGGGATGTCAAGGACCCTAGGCTGGGCTGGGCATCTGGCTGCGCATGTGTGCCACTGGGGCCAGCACTGCTTCAGGTTTCACTGTGTGCCTTAAACCTGGATCAGACCCACTGTGGGACAGATGATGAGGTGGGGACTTCTCCTGTCCTGGGATTATCCTGACTTTATTATGTTATTGGTCATGAGGATTCAGGAATTAACTGGAGAAATGAACCCTTACGTGGACCTAAAGAATGGATTTTAGGGCAGGTTTGCAGGGAACTCCCATTGTGGGATGTTGGAGTTTGGGTGCTATACTGCGCTCTGTGCCCTGGGCAGGGTGCTGTTTGTGTGTTTCATCCCTCTGGGAAGCTTGTTACTGACGTTCCCACCTCCCAGGTAGGTGCAGAGATCAGCAGTGTGAAGAAGATGACCCTGCATTTTCAGGAAGGAGGCTTGTCTGGGCAGTAGCACTCCTTGGGATCAGTTGTGGGCTCAGTCTGCTGACTGCAGCAAGCCAGCCTTTGCCAGGGGCTTGCTGGGGGAGCTTCTGCACTGCACAGACCCTTCTCCAGGAACAGGTTAGCCAGCTGCTTCAGGCAGTGGGAGATTCCTGAATTATGTGTATTTTCCATCCCTTTCCCTTGGTTTCTCACTCAAGAGCAGCACCCCTGTCATTGCAGCAAGCTTTCTTGGCAAGAAGTGCAGTCACCCTTTTTCTACTGACAGCAGGCTGGATAACCTTGTGTCTTTCCATGGTGTTGGCCAGAGAGGAAGGAGAAGCAGCAGGCAAAGGGAACCAGAACCCTTCAGTGCTTCTTCATGAACGAAGCACTTCAGGTTGTAAAACCAAGAATAATGATGTGTGATGACGATTCCTATTCAGCACTCTCGCTAAATGCCATCAGGCTCACAGTTACTTAGTATAGCAGCACTTATTATCCCTGTTCATAGAGAACCAACTGGGAATTGACTTGAAAGAGTATTTGCAAATCAACATTCTGTGGCTGATTCTAGACCAGATTCTAGAACTCACGTGTAACTCATGTGTGCAGAACACAAGCTACTCTGGCATGGTTTCTTCTTTTTTTTTTTTTTTTCCTTCTTCCAGGCTCTTTAGACTTTTGATCCTGGATGTGAAGCAGCAGGCCCTGTGGTTCCAGAGCAACTTTTGACATGGTCTGACTGAGCCTGCAGTGCCTGGCATCCTTCCTCTTCTTCTACTGTGCCTGCATGTCCCTAGATGGGGGCCTGGAACTTGTGCCCCTGCACACCCATGCACATCGCAGAGGCGGCCATTGCAGTCTTGTCTGGGCCAGCCTCTTCCTCTAATTCAGCTTTGGCCAGGCACTGAGAGCATCTGGCTTGTCCAGCTGCCCACCATGGCCACAACCACCAATGCAGGACCCTCTCAGGAGGAAATCCTTCTCTTCCCCAGGGGGCTCAGAGGTGGGGTCCTGCAGCTTCTTTCTCTCTTGTTTGCCCTTCCTGGGCAGGATCGTCACCTGGCCTTGCTGGCTCTGAACTCTGCAGGCAAAAGGGATGGTTATTTTGGTATATTCCCTGCTCAGCCCTGCTCCCAGCTCCTGCCCCAGCCAGACTGAGGAGGGATGCAGGAAACATGGCTCAGAGTTACCCTGCATCCTCCTGGCTGATGAGGATCTGCCGCCCCAACAGCACCTGCGCAAGGTGGATCTCTCACCGCAGTCCAAAATGGGGTGTAAGAGTCCTTGGCACCAAAACTATCAGGGCTCATCTCCCCCACTGCCCTATTCTGAGCCCAAAGTGGGGACCCATCATCATCAGACTCAAGGAGAAAGAGACCTGCTAGAGGTCAAAGTGGCTCAGCTCTAGCTTGCTCTGCTGCAGCTCTGGCTGGGCCTTCAGCAGCAGGAAGGAAGTGCACCTATAGGGGGAAAATAACCCAGTTCTCCAAGCGCCCCCCCACCAGCCATGCTCCATTCTCAGGGCAGTGGGGGAGGGACAGCAGTGGGCAGAAAGGAACAATCTCACATTTGACCTGGCAAGATGAATTAATGGGATCCCACGCCCCAAAGTATATGCTTACTCCAGACCAAGCTGAGAAGGTACCAAACCCTCTTGCCAGGGCTAGTCCTCCACCAAAGAGCCACAGACAGCAATGCTGCTTTTACCCACAGGCCAGCTCTTCCCTAACCGCGCATACCCTAAGCTCAGAGCCAGGATGTTCCCCTCTTCCAAGGCCAACTAACCAATGCATGGCTTGCAGTTTCATGGCTAGCTTGATGGCCTCCATGCATAAGACCTGCTCCTTCGTGGTGCTTCCTCTGCAGGTGTCACCAAGCTGGCAGATCACGCAGGCTGGGGTGGGCACGGAAAGCTGTGGGATCCCCACAGCTACCAGCACCCCCACGCTCCCAGCTCCACTCCCCAGTGCTTACAACCACTCATAACCTGCCCCCACACTCCCTAGCACGCCGTAGTACCCAGCTCCACTCCCTTGCACTTTCGGGGGCCACAGACCCCCCCCACTCAACGGGGTCCGCAGCCGCCTCAGCCTCTCTCCCCGGGGTCCCCGGGGTCCCCAGCCTCCCCCGGCCACGGCCCCGGCCCCAGCCCCCAGCACCACTCCCTCACCCGGCCTCCGCGCCGCCGACGGGTGCAGGCCCCGCTGCGTCCCCCGGTCCAGCCTCTGCCGCAGCCAATCAGCGTGCGGATCCCCTGCGCGGGGCACACCGGGAACTGCACGCGCACAGCACTGCCTGCAGCGGGGAG